CCTCACCCCCCCCCCAGATGACCGGAACTACCGCCAGCCCGCCGCCGTGCCCGAGTCGTCGTCGGCCCACTCTGGTGAGGACGTGGCGGTGTGGGCGGCGGGGCCTCAGGCCCACCTGCTGGCGGGGACCCACGACCAGGTGTACTTGGCCCACCTCATGGGGTACGCGGCCTGCGTGGGGCCCGGGACCACGTACTGCGACGGCGGCAACAGGGGCAACAACAACAACAACGGGGCCTGTGGGGCGACAGTTCATAACAATAATAACAATCAGAGAACAAGGGGGAACAATAACTCTTTTAATAACCACCCGAGAACAGCTAGAAATAATAAATCTGTTAATAAGTACAACAACCAGAGTACAGCGAAGAACAATAACGCTGTCCCCAACAACAAGGGGCGGTCTAGTATCAATATTCCCGTCATCAACAACCTGCACCCAGTTATTGATGACAATGACTACAACAACGAAAATAGCAACATCAACGAGAGTAACAACATCAACGTGAGTAACAACATCAATAAAAACAACGTAAATAACCTCGTAAATAAGAGCGTAGGGTTCGGGATAACAGGGTTCGGGATGACAGGGTTCGGGATGACGGGGTTTTCAAGTTGCAAGGATAACCTATCTCAGGCTAACCTGCTGTGTTATACACTATCTACACATATAACCTTTCGTTATATATTTGTGTGATTGTATTTTAGTGTGTTTTGTTTGCCGCGCGTATCCAGGTTATGATGTCAGGCTAACCTTGAATTCCAAATATTGCAGGCTTTCTAACATTTATTGAATCGCATTTTTATTTTAAATTGTTTTTAGTATGAAAAATATTAAATACTTAAGATAATTACTAAATACTAATACTAAATACTAAATATACTAATACCATTACTAAATACTAATACTAATAATTAAATACTAGTACTAATTAACAAATACTAAAAATAGTAATACTATATACTAAAAATACTAATATTAATTACTATATACCAATACTAATTATTAAATAGTAATACTAAATACTAAAAGTACTAACTTCCCCCCATTCCCCCCCAGGGGACGAGGAGTTCCACAAGTTCAGGAAGCGCCACTACAAGNCTGTGCAGCCAGTCGTCAGCCAGGCCAAGAACGTCATCCTCTTCCTGGGGGATGGCATGAGCATCCCCACGGTCTCCGCCGCCCGTATCCTCAAGGGGCAGCGAACGGGGAAGTGGGAGCACGAGACGTTGTCCTTCGAGTCCTTCCCCCACACGGCGCTCCTCAAGGTAAGGGGATTTGGGGGAGGGAAACCTTCACATTTGATGGGGAATTCTGGGAAACTGCAGTCGTCACTCAGTGAATGGGGTCCATGTGGCGTTAATGAAGCCATGTTTTTGCTGGAAGTAAAGGGTCCATGCGGCGTTAATGAAGCCATGTTTTATGTTGGAGTCATAGGGTCTAAAGCCACATGGCTTGCCGCCAGACGTACACGACGGACAGCCAGGTGGCTGACAGCGCCGCCAGCGCCACAGCCTTTCTGTGCGGCGTCAAGGCAAACCTCGGCACGGTCGGCGTCAGCGTCGGCGTCAGCAAGGAGAACTGCAGCGCCCAGCACCAGCGTCAGCACCAGCTGCCCAGCATACTCAGCTGGTTCCAGGTACCGCCCAGCTGCCGTATTCACTCCCCTTATCTCTCTTTTCACTCTCCCTCTCTCCATTTTCACTCCCCTTCTCTCGTTTTTCACTCCGCTCCCACAATCTCTTTCCCTTCCCCTCTCTCTACGATAAACTGATCCCCAAATCCCCATAAAAACACCCAACCCTTTTCCTTCCCGGGCAGAATTGACACTAAACCCCACTATAGACACCTCCAAACAACCCTTTCCCTTCCCCTTCTGACAAACTAAACCCCCAGTCCCCATATCCCCCGTAACTTAGTCCACGTAACCCCCGTAACCCTCTTCCCCGTGCCCCCAGGACGCGGGGCGCAGCAGCGGGTTCGTAACCAACATGCGGGTGACCCACGCCACACCCGCGGGGGCCTACGCCCACTCCGCCGACAGGGAGTGGGAGGACGACGCCGAGGTGGGGGGAGAGGGGAGAGAGGTTGAGGGAGAGGGTAGAGAAGTAGAGATGGGGGCAGATGGTAGAGAGGTAGAGATGGGGCAGATGGTAGAGAGTAAAGAGGTGGTAGAGAGATGGGGTAGGAGGTAGAGATATGACGTGGAGATTGACCACCAAGCAGTAATAGTAATAGTATTTTAACTTTCTATATATGAGATCATCATCTGTTGTGAATTAATTGTAAACGAACCCCCACCCAGCCCGGAGGTTGAACCCCTTCCAGGGTAAACAGGCTCAGGGGTACACTCATCCTACGTTCCATCTGAACCCCTGAACCCCGACAGGTGGAGGAGGATGGGCTTGACAGCGACACCTGTGATGATATCGCAGAACAGCTTATACTGGGACCTACTGGGAGCCGTCTTAAGGTGGGTCACTGGGACCTACTGGGAGCCGTCTTAAGGTGGGTTACTGGGACCTACTGAGAGCCGTCTCAAGGTGGGTCACTGGGGCCCACTGGGAGCCGTCTTAAGGGGGGTCACTGGGACCTACTGTGAGCCGTCTCAAGGTGGGTCACTAGGACCTACTGGGACTCGTCTCAAGGTGGGTCACTGGGACCTACTGGGAGCCGTCTCAAGGGGGGTCACTGGGACCTACTGTGAGCCGTCTCAAGGTGGGTCACTGGGACCCACTGGGAGCCGTCTCAAGATGGGTCACTGGGGCTCACTGGGAGCCGTCTCAAGGTGGGTCACTGGGACCTACTGGGAGCCGTCTCAAGGTGGGTCACTGGGACCTACTGTGAGCGGTCTCAAGGTGGGTCACTGGGACCTACTGGGAGCCGTCTCAAGGTGGGTCACTGGGACCTACTGTGAGCGGTCTCAAGGTGGGTCACTGGGACCTACTGGAAGGTGTCGCAAATTGGTTCATGGGTCTCCTAATCACCCTCTATCAACGCCTCCTCATAACCCCGAAAGACACTTTCAAATCACTTCTTCCCCATTAACATCTCCGAATCACCCTTCATCTACTTTTGAATAGCGTTAAGCATTCGGGTTCTATTTTTTATCATATATGGGAGATTATCGAGATGAATGAATAATGTGGAAGATTCCATAGTTTAGGGTAAATTTAAGGAGCAGCGCGGGGCTTGCGGGTTGCCGGAATATAAGCCCGTAGGTCCGCAGGCCGCAGCCAGTCAGAGGCTAGGTGGCCTCGCGTGTGGATGTGTGTAGGGCAGTGAGCAGCGAGACATAGTTGAGGTTATGGAGTCGTAAGCAACGTACCGTACGCGGGTGCATCATAAGATTGGTCATCGTGTAAACTGAATATGATATAGCGGGACTGCACAAAATATATTGAAATTTGCCAGTCTTCAGAATGATGGAAATTAGATTACACCGTCACTATACGATAAAATCTCACAAGATCTGCACCACTGATTAACATTGCACAATTAAAAGTAAGAGGGTATAAAATACAGCAGAGAATTTTATAGTCTCTATTGAAGGTAAGGAAAAACAAACAGATACAGGAATTCTGTAGTATGTCACTGGGACCTATCAGATATAAAGCTTCCGGCTGGCCTCGGGCTGGAACTCTGTTGACGGCGCTTGTGTCCTGAGTTTGGCATACTTCCATGACGAGAGAAGGGGATGCGGGATGCACTTCCTGTGAGTATTCGTTGTCGCGACCATTCGGTGACGCGGCCGTAGTGAATTAGACTTGCAGTCTTCGCTAGAATTCGTGCCAGGATTCGGTAGAGTTCGTGCCAGGATTCGGTAGAGTTCGTGCCAGGATTCGCTAGAGTTCGTGCCAGGATTCTGTAGAGTTTGTGCCAGGGTTCGGGTAGAGTTCGTGCCAGGAGTCTTGGTAAAATAGGGCCGAGCGTGGTGGTTGGGTGGTTGAAAAGTTCTTCGGCGTCGGAGCGAAGCTACGGTTTGGCCGAGTACTTCTATCGTGGCGCACTATGACCGGGCGATCGGGCGACATTGCAAAATAAATAAAATATCCAAAACTGTTGTAGGCGGCAGATCAGCGCAACCTTGGACAAGAATGTACTAAACTTGAAATAAGGACGGGTGAAGTTGAAGTTTCTCCTGACGTCCATCTCGGCGGACACTGACTTCTGTTAAACTCTCGAATTTTCGTTTTGTCGACATCACCGTTTCGCTATCACATAATACGTTCTCACGATACTTTTTACTTCAGTGTCACTCGTTTAGTGTCAGCTTATTACACGGTATCCATGCAGACAGACCATCTCGAGGGCTGCAGACACTGCGGCGCCATCTCGAGGGTCTTGCTGAGGGCCTTGCCTTGTGAGGGTCTTGCTGAGGGCCTTGCCATGATGACCGTGGTCTATTAGACCCCCTGGGGATTGAAGGAGCAGTTCGGTTCTTTATGGGCCTTGCCATGATGACGTGGTCTATTAGAACCCCTGAGGATAGAAGGAGCAGTTAGGTTATAACGACGCATTGGTTACGCAACACTTTGAACTCACTGCTCGCTACACATCCATGCGCCAGGCCCTCTCGCCTCTGACTGACAGCTGACTGCGAACCTACCGGCATGCATACGGGCAACCCGCATGCTCCGCCCTGCTTTATTAACTTACAGTACCCTAAACTGTTGAGTCTCCTTCATGATTTATTCTTCTCGATGTTACCCCAAATTTAATAAGAAATTGAACTTGCAGCTTATACGCTATTTACGTCTCCTCCTAATCACTCCCTACTGACCCCCCTCCCCCGCAGGTGATCATGGGGGGCGGACGTCGCAGCCTGACCCCCCGCGAGACCCCCGACGTGGAGGAGGCGAACCGCAAAGGGCGCCGCCGCGACGGCCGCGACCTCGTCGCTCTCTGGCAGCGCCTTCGTCAGGAGCGCGGCCACAGCCACGCCTACGTCTGGCACCGGGACCACCTGTACACCCGGGACGTGGAGGACGCTGAGTACCTTATGGGTGAGTGGGGGACCTGGAGTACCTACCTGGGGGACGTGGAGTACCTCATGGGTGAGTGGGGGGCGACCTGTACACCCGGGACTTGGGGGATGTGGAGTACCTTATGGGTGAGTGGGGTACACCAGGGACCTGGGGGATGCCTGTTTTGGGGGATGCCTGGGGACCTGTTGACCCGGGACCTGGGAGACGCTGAGTACCTCACGGGCGAATGAGGCCCGGGGGATGCTATAAACCCTCTCTCATTAGTCATTACGCCCACTCATCAACCAATCGCTGATTAGAGTTAGTTTTGCAGGCTATCATTTTCAATTCTTTATAATCATTTTCATTTTATCACTGATCGTAACTTTAATTTAGTAAGTACTTAAGTTGCGTAGTTTAAGTAGCGGCCGTAGCGTCTCGGGTTTTCTCAGAGAGTTCGAGTTAAAGTTCTCGTCTGAAGGATTTACGACAAAAATCTTTACAATGAAACACTTGGACATTTAATATATCATTCTTCAGATGTGGGCAGTAACGCGCTGCATGTAGCGGCCGCTACATTTTCAGTAGCAGTAGCGGCGCTACATTTAAGCAATTTTAGCGGTAGCGGTAGCGCCCGCTACATTTAGAGTATGTAGCGGTAGTGGTAGCGGCCGCTACATTTCAAAGTACCGTAGCGCTGCCCAGCTCTGTCAATCTTGTTATCAAGTGCATCCTACGTAGTCTACAAAATCACTCGTACAAAAGACATATAAATAAATTTAGAACATGACATTTTATCCTTAAGAAAACATCGCTCGCTATTCTAAATCAATGCCTTGAAATTAAATGTCTTTAAAAATTTAATTTGAAAATAAATGTCCGTGACCGTATCGATCAGGAACTTCACTGACAGGAAGGTCTCTTGCGTAACGACGGTCGTTTGTTCTAAGCAGCCGTACCGCGATGATCGTTTTCAGCGCATTTTCTCATTTATGAAAAAAATGCGCAATTGTGCTCGTCATGTTCGTCCATCCGTCTGTCCGTCCGTCTGTCTGTCCGTCCGTGACTTCATGTTTTCGTCGACGAGAAAATGCGCTCTCTCACTCACTGCAGTGAGTACTGAGTTATATTTTTTAGCTGTTATCCTGTTTCTTAGGAATATCAGTTTTCGTATTCCACGCTCAGTTCCTTACCTATTATATACAAGTTTTGTTTAATACTAAAAGATAAACTAAAGTCATAAATACCTAAGCTTTATTCATCACCTCCTAACCCACTAAAATCCCTCCCCAACCTAACCTAAACCCCCCTCTAGCCGAAGCCCCTTACACACTCAACTCTATACGTCATGTCCCCAAATGTTCCCCAACCCCCACTCCCCATCCTGTCTCTTATACACATCTAGATGTGTATAAGAGACAGGTGTGGGGGTGATGATGTGTGGGGGTGATGATGTGTGGGTGTGATGATGTGTGGGGGTGATGATGTGCTGTCTCTTATACACATCTAGATGTGTATAAGAGACAGGTATTTAGCTTTATTTTCGGGTATTTGGCGTTATTTAACGGG